CTTTACACAATTGACGTATGTATGGATTGTGATAAGAGTTGTATGAGCCCCTAATAAAATGATTTGAAAAAAAACAAAAGTAAGGCAAAAAAAAAAGAAACCCACAGGGGCAGTTCTACCTTTTCCTATAGGATTGCTATGAGTTGGACTTAACTCGATAGCCATGAATTAGACATCTTCTATTTAGATCATGGATAAGAGCTAGATGTGAGTCCAGAAGGTAGGTACCTGAGAGTACAACCAAATATGGATTTCAGACCTCTTCATCTCTATTTACTCCAGATTCCAACAAACTCTACAGAGGTCCCTTTATCATAAGTTAAACAGGACAAAGACAAAGCAATCATCTGAAGGAAGACACTATCAGCAGGAAGCGGAAGTGGAGGCCAGTGACTCCCTGAAAAAGCAAACCAAACTCAGTGTCAATGAGTCCAGTCAGCAGCGACTGACAGAGCAACTGCAGGTTTGAACTAACAACTGTAGTTGCAGTCTAATGTTTACCCCACTATACCGTGAGGGCTCCTTCCACAGCAGGGACTAATTATATTTATCATGGGGAAAAAATTCATGACTCACGGCAGGTCAACTCATCAGTGCTGTAGGCAGAAAAGGTCCTATAGAAGTAGAGAAAGGTCCATGACTGGGATACCGACATGGTGCAGATTATAGAAGCTTACAGAATTGGCTCTGGGGCGTCAGCCACCTGGCCATGTGGTGGTCCAGGTATGATTCATGACATTTAGCCCTGAGTCAGACACCAGAACTCCCAACTTTTACCTAGATAACGTATGGCTATTTTCAGAAAATCATTAAGGATGCCCAAGCAGGTGCAGTTTTCACTGCAGGCCTGAATGCAAACTTGCCTCTCCCTAAGTTTGCCTGGGAAATCACGGCCACGGCGCTGGTGTGCTAGTCACAAAGAACGCAAATGGTATGTGAGCTTACAATGTCAAGACACAGCGTTCTCACTGGAAACTAAGGGCTTTCGTTTATTTGTTTAATGAAAAATTTTTATGTGAATCTTAAAAAAGTTTTATTGGGTCATAATCCACATACCATAGAATTCACTAGCTCAATCGAATCAAGAAGAGTTTGTACAATAATGACCACAATCAATTTTAGAGCATTTTCTTCTTTCTTGTACCCCCTGTTATTAGCTCCCGATTTCTCCTCAACCTTCCCTGCCACACTCCCAAGAAACCATTCATCTAGTTACTGTCTCTATAGAGTCACCCTGCCTGGATTGCATTTATCGAAAAACATACAAAACCAAAACACAAAGCAACACGAAAGAACAATAACAAAATAAAAGTGAAAAACC